GAAGGCTATAGAATACACAGTTTTGGGTTACACACCATGATGAACTGGTCTCAGCTGTCCTAACTAGGACACCAGGGGACACACAAATCAAATTGCATCATATGGTGGATTTGGGAATCTGCCTTCTAAGCAAAGACAGAAGAGAGAAAAACAGGGCAGGATTACCTAATTTCAATGTGCTTTCAATGTGCCTGCTTATACCAAATTTTCTATACAGAAAATACAGATTTGTTAACAGGAATGCAGGGTATAAACACTCAAATACCCAAAGGGTGTCAGCTACCTTAAACTAATCAATCCTGCTCTCCAGGGATGAAATGTTTAATCATGAACAAGAGGATCTGATAAAACCTTTCTGCTTTTAACTAAGTATGTAGTTTTCTGTGTCTGCAGGTAGTGAGTTCTAATTTTGTTTCCACAGGTGGAGACCATTGGTGATGCCTACATGGTGGCGAGTGGTTTACCAAAGAGGAATGGCAACCGGCATGCAGTAGACATCTCCATGATGGCTCTGGATATCCTCAGCTTCATGGGATCTTTTGAACTGAGACATCTGCCGGGTCTGCCTGTGTGGATTCGCATTGGAATTCACTCTGGTACACAGTAGTGCTAGATCAACGATGACAATATGTTGCCTTGTTTTTGAAAAGAACTGACTCCCATACAAGGTCTGGTAGTACATCATACCTGATTGCTCTCCTCATGGGGAATCAGTTTGAAAAAAATGTACCTAGAAGAAGAGCAACAGAAATAAAATGTCACTGCTTTGCTCCCCTGTAGTGAAATAACCCCTACCCATTCATTCACAGTTTAAGTCAGTAGCTAGGATGAACAACTGCCATTATTCCTGGTATGATTAAACCAGTTGTATCAAGTAAGCCTTCATAGATTTTTCCTCCCTGACTAAAGTGGAGATCAGTCATGGCCAGCTATGCTTATCTAGACAAAAAATGAAGACTTGTATTTTATGCTTTTGGAGGCAAAAGTTTTGTGAAGCCTATGCAGGAATTAATATTTTGATTTATCTATAAAAACGCTTCTTATCAAAGGGGAACTCCAGATAGTTCAACAACTTTGGGAAATTCATCAACCACCTAAACGCCAGCTGCCAAGGGAGGAACATATCAGAGAAAATGACTGAGGCACTGGGAAACTGCTTGAGGCTCCACTATGCACCCTTTTGTAATGAAGCTTATTCTATTTTTCTCTTGCTTCCAAACCTGACAGTTAATAACTGTACTTTTTTTTCTGCATAGAAAAAATTAATACTGTGCAGCTGTGTCCTTTTTACGCTCTTATTAGATTGTGCAAGACTAACAGAGCTAGGCTTGGTTTGGAGGAAGGGGAGATCACAAGATATTGTGGGAAGTGAGGTACAGAGTATTGCCATTGGTGAGGAATGTAGAGCTCCAGCAGGCACTGCACTGCTCTGCAGTAGTGAGACACCTCCCAAACAAATAGTCTCTTGATCCACCGTTTCTTAATGCTCTGCATCTCCTTTCTAGGTCCATGTGCGGCTGGTGTGGTTGGAATAAAAATGCCTCGTTACTGTTTGTTTGGAGATACAGTAAACACAGCTTCGCGGATGGAATCCACAGGCTTGCGTAAGGATTTAATTTTAGCTGTCAGTGTAACGGGACCAAAGGCTATTGCTTAGTTTGTGACCACAGTGTCTGTTTTCAGCTGAGAACAATTTATTATCAGCTTGCAGAACTTTTAGAGATAAAGAAGCCCTATTTGTTTTGATTACCAATTATTTAACTGTCCAAAGTGACAGTGGGCACTTCACTGGGCAATGAAGAGTTGTTCCTTGTTCATGCTTCAGTGCTGGTAACGGGGAGTTTGTAGACTGGTTCACTGCCTGAATTCCTCTGGAAGATATGCTACTCATGTGCCTGGATTAATTTTACTCTATGAAGTGTAGATTTTAGTCTGCCCTAGAATTGTATCACAGTTTTGTTGAGTAAATATACTGACTGTGTATTTTAAGTTGAAGCAATTATGTCTTCAACTTCAGCATTAGGGAACTGTGCCAAGAGCCAGGTTTTTTTCCTTCTGCCCAGTGTTTTCCCATGACCATTCCCTAATAGGTCTCTAACAATTATGCTTTTCCCTTTTGGCATCTAAATACTACAGATACCATTGTCACCTGTATTTCAGATCAATGGCTGTACCAGCTCCCTAGATATACCATGTAGTGGAGTCAAATTTTTCATACAGCAGTGTAATTGCTTCTCATTTAATTTAACTCTCAGAATTTATGTTCATAACAATTGAAGGAACTTCTGCTATAGCACCAGTTTTCACATATACTTAATGTGATTACATGGTAAGTTTCCAGGTTGAGCTTTCATTGTCTCTTTAATTTTTAGCTTTAAGGATTCATGTAAGTGGTTCCACTATTAACATCCTGAAAAGAACAGACTGCCAATTCCAGTATGAAGTGAGAGGAGAAACGTACTTGAAGGTAACCTTTTCCATGCACATGCAGGAATACAGAGAAGAGGGATAGTAAAAAGTATTATATAGCTGAGAGTACCACAAACTTAATTAACAGCTGGGGAAAAAGGGTTACAGATAATTGGTATCACAGTCTCTAGTGGTTGAAGAGACTTCTATAATAAAGACGATGCAGGCAATGAAGAGCTCCCTAAGTCATAAATAAAATTACAACATAAAAATGTGGAGAACAAATGAAACATACCACTTGGAACAGAAAATTGTGGAGTGAATTCATCTGATGAAAGGTAAGCTGAATGTACTGTTAATTTGCTTATACTCCAATATCTGACTGTCCCTCTACAATCCATTTATTTCAGTCTGTTACACTTGTCTGTCCTTGGGAGCTGATGGAAGGCAGCACAGCTCACCTCTCCTATGGTGTGTTTCAGGTCATGGAACAAGGAAATGGGTGTGCAGCTGCATCTACCCCATTATTTTTCTTCTCACATCTGATTTTTAATCCTTTGCCATCAGCACCAGTTACTGAAAACAAGCAGAGGCAAACATGACAATGTGTAACACAGTATTATTTAAGTAAATTAACTACTGGGAATTCCATTCTAATCCCAAGATTGTGCTTTCTTTTCTTTGTCATATATATTTAGGGCAGAGGAACAGAGATTACCTACTGGTTGACGGGTACCGAGGACAAGAAATACAATCTTCCAACACCTCCTTCTGTGTAAGATGGTCTTTATATGTGTAAAGGGAAGAGAAATCCCCATTCTTTGTGCTTTAGCCTTCATTGTTGCTCCCTGGCACTTGTGGATTTTTTATACTATTGAACTTATAACAGTGTATATTCATATAAACATGTAAATATTCATGAGATGGGATTAAGTGTGTGCTGAAGGTTATTTGTCTATATAAGCATTTAGCAGGTTCATTTCGTTGGAAGGGAAGTAAGACTTACAGGACAAGTTGCTGATATAAGGGCAAAAGATGGACAGAAGAATGAAAAACATCAATATTCCCAAAAATTTAGTCCCAGTGGCACCTGTGTGTCACAGTGTGGGAAGAGGATAACCACAACTGAATGTGCAGCTCTCTCTAATACCAGAAAAGAGCCGGTGAGCTCTTGTAGGGAAATTTGTAGGGGAATGAAACTTGCAGGATTTTAAGCAGTACTCTGCTACAAGAGGTGAACAAAGTTACTGTAATACTACACGGGAATAGTCTTTAAAAATTGAACGAGAGGTTATCTTCTAACACAGAAGAGAGAAGTTATCAGGAAAAAATATGAAGTTGATGTCCTGGAACTGAGCCATAATTTTACATTAGAA